ACTACCGATTTCTTGGTCTGAATAAAAAAAATTGATTTTTTTTCAAAAAGGTCTTGTAGTTATATGAATAAAAAAATAAGCATCGTGAGCACTTTCTTTTATAAGATCTGATATGATTTGATTTTAAATTGATTAAGATCCAATATAATTTTTAGATATCATAATATTTATTTTTATTTTAGTTGCATAATGAGAGGTAATCATTTCTCATTTTTTATTCTACTACGCTTGCATATCATGTGACTCAAATTCAAAACTTATTATTTACAGCAAAAAAAAAAAAAAATCACTGAGTTATTTAAGTTGTTGATCAAATACCGAAATGTTAATAAAAAAGTATATGCTTAAATTCAAATTTCCATGAGAAATGATCTCTAGGTGACATTTTCAGGGTTTTTTTTTTTTATAAGGATAATGGTTAGTAGATTAGTATTGTTAGAAGTTAGTAACTAAGGATTCAATCTTCAAATCTGATGAACAACTCACTAACCTCAATAAGACGTACAGTCACCAGACCGCTTGGTGAAGTTCCATTTTCAGGTTTGTTTCACAGATGAATCAGCATATTTAAGCCAGTGATGGTTGCAGCTGAATAATTCCTGTTAGGCAAACGGGTTTGGCACGGAAAAACCACATCGTGCTTCTCCCTTTAAAAACTTGCTTTTCCCCCCATTTTTTGATTAAGTAGGTAAGTAATCCAAAATTTTGGTACATAGTCAATAGCACCATGTCAGCTTCAAAAGTGGACCATTCATGACTGGAGGGTCCTGAGTGGCACCACGTCAGCTTTCAAAGTGGACCACTCATGACTGGGGGGTCCTGAGTGGTACCATGTGAGCTTTAAAAGTGGACCATTCATGACAGGATGGGGTCCTGTCCTGTGCATTGGAGAGGAACATACAGTTTCATCACCAAAGGGGCTGCGGATATAGACACTTACGGTATTGTTTAGGTCCACACATGTTCTTTTATTAAAGTTTTATAATTTAATTTAATTTATTTGTTAAAAATAAT